CGGGGCAACCGTGTTTTTTTTTTTAGTCCCCCGGTGGGTGCGGGGGGGGGGGGAGCGAGCGCCCGAAGAGCCGATGGGCCGTCCCCGGGGCGGGGGAGAAGGGGGAATAAGAAAGGGGGCAGGCACCCCACTACAGCAGCCGGTGGAGTTCCTCGAAGTTGAGCAGGTTGTTGGCTGTCTCGGACCAGGCTGGGTGGGTCGCACCATCCATCTCAGAGGCGAGGCTGTTGGTGCTGTCCAGAGCATGGTTTGTGCCCCCGATGACTTCATGGCATTCAGGGCACTTACTCCTCTCCATTGCCCCTCCACAGTCCCCAATTACATAGATATGCCCATTTCTGCACTTGAACCAGTGGCCACGGGGACAGCCAATAGCACTGACAATCTGCACCCGCTCAGCTTCAGAGATCCCCAGCCCTGACACAGGCAAGGCACTGCGGAGCCTCTCTAGGTGAGCCTTCACTGTCGCCTCATCCTCTGCTGTGAATTTCTTTGTCCCTTCCAGGATCTCGCGCACGCTAGCAATCTCTGCTGCAAGCACTGGGGTGATCATCCCACTTGCACCTTTACACCTTGCCAAGAGGGTCAGCAAATAAGTCAGTCTCTGGATCTCAGACTGCAGGTCAGAGAGCTCCTGTCCTGTAAAACTGAGGCGTGGCTTATCCAGCCACTCCTGGACTTCGTCCAGCCCCCTTCTCAGCCCTTTCCTCTCACTCACATCAATTTTGCTCATAGAATTGGTTAGGTCTGCTACACGTTCATAGAAGTTAAGCTGGTTCTCAATTAGCCCGATGCTCTTTGTAGAGAGATCAGAAGCTTTTAGTTTATCTTCTAGCATGAGGTACTTAAGGGGTAGATTCCTCTGCAGAACAGCATTCCCTGTCAGTGCAGCCTGCAGTCTCTGTCTACTAGACTCAATTTCCTGTGCTGGGCCTTGGATTTTCTTTTTCACCTTTTCTATCTCATCTAGCCGCCTTTTCACAATAGTGCCGTATCTCAAATTCTTTCTGATAGGTGTCTGACAGATAGGGCATACCTTCAGCTTGATAACATCATCATCTTCATCCATATAATGGTCAAGGCCTTGGGACTCAAAGACATGACCACAGTCTTCAAGCTGTACAAATCGAGCATCTGGGTCTTCCTCAAAGCCGAAGAAGATCTGGGTGAGTTCCTCACGGTCACAAACAAGGCACTTCTTTGGGCAGGGCTCTCCACACAATCCAACACAAGGATGACCACAGCACAGTAGCTTGGCACACGGTACATTGCAGCGAGGCCTGTTGCATGGTTCAGAGCAAAGATTGGTACACTGGTAGTGCTGGCACCGCCACTCACATGGCTCAGTACACGGAATACAGCTCTCTCCACATTTCTTTTTACACCTACTGTGGATACAGTGGTTCTGACATTCCAGCTGACAGGGAGGGCATTCTGTAGTACAAGGCTGCTGACACTTGTGGGCGCAGACCAAGAAGCGCTTGCATGGGCTGTTACATGGCTTATGAAATCTTCCTTCAAAGCAGGTATGACAGGAACCAGAGCATACATGACCACACTCCAGTGTGACAGAACACTTAGTCTGACATTCCACAGGCTTCCCATGTTTCATCTCCTCAGTGATCCAGCATTTAACTTGTTGATTGTGGCCACATTTCAGCATGACTGTAACCAGTTCAGGACACCTCGTAGTGCCTTCCTGCCCAGAATTTGTTGCACGTGTGCCCACAGATCAACTTTTTCTGGCAAGGTTCTTGGCAAAGAAACTCACTGTCTGGTGTAGAGCATGGCACCATCTGCAGGTGGCCACATTTAGAAATAGTTTTTTCTACTATCACCATGCATGGTCCACAGGGCTCATAACATGACCGTGGACAGCGGTGCCCATCTGCACAAAGCACCTTTTGACAAGGCTTCAGACACTGATACTCTTTGTGCTGGGTGTCATATGGGTGACATGCCCTTGTGCAAACATGTCCACAATTCAACCTAGATTCACAGGGACGACTACAGCCTCCTTCTGGGACTTTGCTGAAGTCTGCTGCTGTAGATACCAGTGTCTTGGTTTCAGGGTGGTTTTGACAGCAAAGCACCAATGAGCGGCCAATGTGACCTTTCTCCCGAAGGGTGTGAATGATCTTGCTCCAGAGAGGAACCTTGCCAAGCATTCTCATATTTCCAATACAATACAGCCCTTTCTTAGCTCTGGATAATGCTACGCATATCCGATTAGGGATCTGCAAGAATCCAGTTCTCTCCTCTTTGTTGCTCCGCACAAGTGACAGCAGAATAATATCATTCTCCTCCCCCTGGTACTTATCTACTACATGAACCTTCACACCTGCAAAGGTCTTGGCTGGCATGAGCTTACGCAGACAGAAAAGCTGTCCAGTATAAGTAGTGAGAATGGTGATCTGAGAAGGTAGATAATCCTGACACAAGAAGTATTTGCACAGTTCCACTACAAACTGGGCCTCGTGTGAGTTCTGGTGGCTTTTCCCTTCCTGGATCTCTTGCTCAGGAAAGTCATGTTCCACAAAGAAGAGGTTAGATAAGACCCCCTGAAACAAGAGAAAGGAATGTCAGAAACAGAATTCTAGCTTCTGTCACTGCAGCCTGTTTCCATGTCCCCAATTATCCACTGACAGGAGGACTCAAAGAGAGAACTACAGTATGCAGTTACTGCATACTTAGGCGATTTCCTCTTAAGATTTCCATAGCATATTAATCAGATAGGAATTTAAGCTTATTAATCACATTTCAGCTTATTAGTGACATTTCAGCATCCTAATATGAAATCAGTTCCTGTGGAAGATTTTATTCCCTATCTTTTCAGAGTTGTTTCTACTGTACCTTTTCAGGTTATAGAAAAGAGAAGATTAAGTGCTAGTAACATTTCTCAATGCATCATAGTTCCATTTCACATTCATGAACAATGTCTTGTTTTGGCCATGTGGGGAAAAAAAAGATAGTAAGTTACCAGTGCACAGGGCTAGCACTTGCCTAAAACTGCCTAGCAAAACACATGCCTTCTTTATTACTGCAGTAAAAACATAAAGAAGCAGGGAGGATTGCTTTTCCACCAGGAAAACTAGGAACACTAGGGACTCCAGTAGTCACCTGCCAGCTCCAGGGGTGTAGAGTTGTCTGCTCACCTGTTCAAAAATTCCATTTGTCTTGAGTTAGTGGGGACCTTTATTTTTTGCCTACTAACTGGAATTCTTCTACCCATAAGAAATTCCTGGGCTGCGTGCCAAAACCCAGAGATTGTTTTTATCAGGAAAAAACAGTTTTTGTAGATCAAACACAGATGTCTGGTTTTCCAAGGTGTCCATAGTGGCATAGCACCCACTGCTGTACAATTTAATTCAGTGATCACCTATGTTGGTTATTGTACTAGATGGGAAGATTCAATTTTGATGCCTTTTGGTACCTCAGGTTTGTTTTATGGTTCCATCTTGCCTTAAGATTCTCCAGAATAGTTTCTCATAGGAGAAATGCAGTAAAATTTTGTGGTCTCTTAAGTTGTGTTTTGGGTGGGGTTTTTGTTGTTGGTTGGTTTTTCATTTGGTGGTGGTGGTGGGGGGGATGTTTGTTTTTTTTATTTATTTAACTAAAGCATCTTCTACAAAATACTTGATCTGGATTTCAAGATACCAAAAGAGGACCTGCCACTTTCCCAGATAGCTTATTCTAGTAATTAAATCATCTTCAGTATTAATTTTCTCTTGTCTGGCTTCGGCATTCTGCTATACTTTTCAGTATGCTTTCCTCATCCAGTTAAAGAGCTTTTAACTAATTAGTACTGTCTTTCCATAGAGAGATTTACATAGGCTAAGCTACTGTAATCCTCTTTCTGTAGCTACCTCCACTTCTTTCTCCCAGGGTATTCAGTCGCTTGTGTTTCACAGATCCAAGGCCTACCTCTGATAGGCCATAGCAGTGTAACCTTGGCTCAGACTTCTGGGGAAATAGTTAAGTTGTGACAGAGCTGTGAGCAAGTCCGCAGAACAGGACTATGCAAGATAAGAAAGGTAAATTACAGACAGATTCAAAGATGCAAGAAAAGCACCAACATGGAGAGACACAAAATCCTAATTAGGGTGGGGAAATACAAACCAGAAAACAGGGAGTTAGTGTTAATATGGAAACTTGGTAACATTAAGGAAGAAGCAGAGGCTGACACTTCTTCTGACTGATACCTGCCTAACTACAGCAAAGACTCTTCAAGTGTCTTATGGTGTGGCAAGCGTACTAATGCTTATAACTTATTAAATTCTAGCTGTTTATTGTGCGTGTTAGCCAATAAGTGATTGCTTTATACTTTTAAGCTGAATAGATCGTTTACAGATGTTGTATATTGGTAAAATGCCCAAACAGAGAACCCAAGGAAGGAGGGTTCCAGTAATCAAGTCACCTATCTCACATTGGAGTTTCACATATTATGCTTTAAGTCTCTTATTTAAGGTTTCTTCGTAGGTTTCAATGTCCTACAATTCTTTTGGTCCCTCTTTGATTTTTCACTGTTCTTTTAAAGTCATCAGTACTGGATCAGTTTCCAGTGTCCACCATCACTAATGCCAGAAGAGCTACAAATTACGTGCCTAATTCTATATCACACATTTCCTTGATTCAGGTGTAAATTTCAGTAGCTGAACTTAATCTAAGAATTTGAAATTCTTGAACACTATATTGTACAGAAACTCATTTTAGCCAGTAACAGGAGTCAAAAGCAATTGCTTGGATTGCTGAAAACTCACTTTTATGTTCTCATACTTCAGGACAGAGGGATGGTTCTCCAGCTCCTGATATATATGAGGACTGAGAAGCTGGGCAATTTCAGGACGCATGCGGTGCTGAAACACAAAGCAGCTTTATCAGTCTTGAGGAAGGAGCACCATATTTCCCTGTCAATATTCTGTTGTTCCACTGT